TAAGTCGTTTTATGACAATGATGTTGACATTCTAGAAAGCGTGTATGGACTTGAGCTACTAAACCCAGTAAAGTTTAGGAAGTTATATAATTGATAGTGACTCACAAGAATTGTCAAAAATTCGGTTTTAATTTTAATGATTTTTCCGACAAAATCCCACGCGTTGAGCTCGGTCATGTTTTGGAATAAGCCGCTGTTGTCGCCGCACAAGTCCCCAAAGGATACCGCTATGTTTTAAACACTCCCCAAACAGGTTGACATTTGGAAGGGCGATTAACGCAACACCTGTATTTGAAACCAAATACAAGTAATCGAATCTCTGTGGAGACCGACTGTCTTGCCATTAGATCATCGAGAATTACCGCGTCAAATACTACGCGATCTGACCAGCACCTGTCTTGTCCGGACACTGATTTGTCACACTTTGTAGGCGACCATAGTATCGGATTTATATACTCAGCTATCGCAACTGATGCCGATATGCCAAAAAAAGTGTTTTCACCGTAATGACGAAATGGCATGTCTGTCGCCTCTGTTAATGCTTCTTAACTCACCAGACTCTAGCAGGCAGTACCTTATGGGGGGCATACGCAGGAGGAAAGTTTTCGGAAATTGTTGTGTAAATGTGATTAAATTGATCTACGGTTCATCTATTTGTATTTTGTATACCCCTATCCAAAAGTTTATTTCGCCATTTCAGCTTCCATGGCCAAACTTTGCTTTAAAGTAACAGAGAGTATAAATAATACATTTTACTTTTGACTGCCATTTTGAAATACCTTTCACTTGCAGCATTAAGAAAAGAAAATCACCTGTTATTCTCATTTCCCTGACCGGGATCTTCTTTATATAGAGTATGAGAATAACAAAGAGACAGAGGCCTGAAATCTATTCGACTTCACTTTCTAAGGCTTCCTGACAGGTTCTTCCCTGTGGCATGCTTTGGTCCATTTTGACGGGCTTAGAAACTCGCGACTTGTTTATTCGCATGGATATTGATCAAACAGACGAAGCCACATCATCACAAAGCTGGTTTGCAGTGCGATTTTCCATGCTTTCTTTCGCAAACACACAAAAATAGGAACATCTATGCCCCTAATCTTGGCGGTGTCTGTTTTCACAGCTTCTTATACCGGGGTTAATCGATGAAGATCCGGACTGGGCCCCGGCAGTAAAGGCACAAACACAACACCAATGGCACAGCAACATGGAGATACTTTGCGCAAGCCCCTGAGCTTGTTTCCAGTGCCAAAGTCCAAGCGCTCCTCGGTCTTCGGGCATGCGTTGAGCACATCCTCGCAGACTGACACGATGCCCATGTAGGCACCTGCGCGACCTCTAATATATAAGAAAACAAATTCTTCTCAGACAAATCTCTGCCTTGGGCTTAACTGAAGGTGACAATACAATTCAGACCCTCTCCGACCTTACAATCTAAGAGCTTATTTTTGTTTTTCAAATGTAGCACGCTGACCACTTGAGTAGACCAAACGAAAAGGACCATGAGAGAAAGGACTATCTATCCGCCTCAAGCAGAAGCACCTCCTCATCGGTGGAAAAGAGCCATGTCGGTTGGGAGTGCTCATTTTGTTGGAAGCGATGCGACCGAAACGCGTGCATTTCATAGTCGTTTGTGAACCAGCGAAGCCTGTTCCTGCCAAAAGAGCCTGCGTTGCTCAGAAAATTGCGCCCTTTCTTGGTCCAGCTCGGGGCTCATCGGCTTGTTCTCGTACGTTCACGAAAGCTCGATGCGTTGTTCGTGGGTCGGCCGCTCAAACGCCGGGAACAAGCAAACAACCGATTATTGCCGCTGACAGTTAATGGCAAGCAACACGCACATGGTGGCGTCCATGTACTTAAATCGCGAGTTAATGTTTGGATAACTGGGCTGAATTCTTTTCTATTTAAACAGAAGCATTCATTTCTGTGTTAAGGAAACTAATTACATGTATGTTAATTTTGCAAAACTTCCCATTGTCTCTGGCTTTGTAAGCCCCCGTCAGTAAACGCTCACCCTTATCATAGCATTTTTTTCGATACTAAATAGATAACTCCACTTTCAAATAGTATGTCTAGTTTGCAATATTTGTTTTGGTAGCAGCTTACAAATTGTTATCGGTAAAGAAAAGATGCTTTTCAATGACCACTTAATGGGGAAATCAGTATTCACTTGGAAAAAGCTTAACCTTTCAGGGCTGATGGATAAAAAATATCCATAGTGTTGAAAGAAGTCAAGCGTACTCTTTTCAATGGGAGAAAATTAATGCACAAATTTGCACCTATTAGCAAGTTGTAACTTCAGAGCAATTAAACGATATGAAAGCTCTAATTCTCACGCAAACAGGTCTGTCCCAGTTGCTTTCTGAATGATGTTTTCCCTACTTATTTCCCGATTTGTAAAACTTAGGCTATACATCACCAACCCGAAGGGTAAATATGCACCCCATCCCGGAGGGGCAAAACTGCAAATAAACGGAGGCTCATGTGCAGAACCGACCACTATCGCACTTGATTCCGGCAAACTGCTTTAAATGCGACGACTGAGAAATATCAAATCAGATAAGTTGGAGAATAGAGGACAAGAGAGTAGGTCGGATGAGTAAATGTGCAGGTGGAATGTGAACGAAAAACGATCGCAAAGGTCTTGTCTTGTGGAAGACGTTATTGGGCTGATATCTTCGGCAAATTTCACTCGTCTTGTATGAAATATTTCTCAGAGTGCATTCAGCCATTTTGATAATGATCAGACCGAGGTCAACCGCACTATGTGTCCCATGTAGTTTGATTCTTCAGATGTTCTTGTTCGTGATGAAGCAAATAGGTCAAAATCTCATTGGCTTTGCGTGAAATCAGTGTGGGAATAAGGGATGCTATTTAGACACCAATAAAATGCCTTTCATGTTTTGATTTGATTTCAGCGCCACTCGTTTCGAGCCGCCAAAGTGGACTTTTTTCTGTTTGTGTGGTTTAAATTGAAAATGCGTTAAAGGGTAGCAATGAAACACGTCAGATTTAATTAAACAATTTCTTTAGAAGCCCTGAATAACGCACTCTGACTCAGCCAACTGCTCATGTAGACACAAAGTCGGTGCAATAACATGAGGACTACCGGTACATGTTGTCATTATTTTGGCCCCGGCCACATTACGGGGCAGCCAATGTTGGCTCGCTGAACTGGAGCAATACGGTAATTTCAAAGTTTTTGACATAGCATGGAAACAGAAAATTAATGATTTTTACTAAACGTGAAAGGTGAACATAATTGCTAAGATACCACACCATATAGGTGCAGACAACAAACATTACGTATTTGGTCGTTATCGAATACGCTGCGAATGCCAGCAGTGTGCATATCTTGCTTTTACTCAAGTAGCGTATTGGTCTCAATGCGACAAAGCTGTTACAACATACCAGGTACAAAGGAGAAGTATCTACATGTATAATGAAAGGACGGTGTAAGAATGTAAGTTCCGGAATTCACGATTTGGGGAGAACATTAAACTATATGTCGGTCTATATGTCTCAAAGCTGTCCACTGCTCTTGGCGTGTTGTTCTTGGCAAGTCAACAGTTAAACTTATGCGGCTTCGTTGATTCAATGAAAATGGGGCGCCATTAAACATCAGGTACAAGACACAGTACATATACGAATATGTATTTGCCGTTCGGTAGTCGCTCCCTTTGATAAAAGAAACTGGGTTCAGAAGGGATGACTCCGACTGAAATAATTATTGTTCTAAACAAAAGTCACTCAGTTTGGGAGTAATTGCTACCACTACGATGAAAATGAATACGAATCAGTAGAATCATCTAAGGCCATTGAACATGGTCGTTTTCATATCATACGGGACTCTTCAAATCCTCTTGGCTTGTTCTAAGAGCGCCATCTTTAATGTATTATTCCTCAGTTAATGAAATAAATCACTACGAAGATAAACAAACGCGAATAAAACTGTGGATAATTAAACAGAATACGAGATTCAAGGCGCCTCACACCATTCGAAGATTGTTTACAACGGCGACCAATTCGCATCCTAGCTCAATTCCTGCAAAAATTATACAGGCTCCAGTAATTCAGAGTTCCCGCCAGAGCCCAGCAAGTTGAATGCTACACTGCAGCCACGGCATTTGGATGCTAATCAATCACAGCCAAAGACTCAGGTTAAACCACGTTTTAACGGTGTGACATGCACATTATGCAGACAACAGAACCCCCACATTCTCGGACATTCTTCAGCGGTCTTTTCCCTTGTGTTCGGAGTTGATGGCGACTCCGTAATCCGGCTTGACGATCTATCACGGGAGCAATTACATTAAGGGCCGTCGTCCAGCAGGTTGTTCAGCAGTGTAAATATTGAACGAGTTTTATTAGAAACCGAGAATTTAATAGAACGTTACACCAGGAAATCTGCATTCGTACATACTCTTAATGACAGTTTCAAAGCGTAATATACACATCGATCTATCGATCACTTTGCCAATATACATCGTTGATTTTGATCTTACAAAGACAGTGACCCAGTTATAACGATAAGACGAAATCTGATGCCAATGGATCTTTAATCTACCAAGGCGGAATCGTGTAATATGTCAGGGTTCTGTTGAGACAAGCACTCCTTTTGTCACTGAGACCGACTTCATACATACAGACCTACTTCCCCAAAAAATCTTCTCGCAGCATGGTGGTTTAACAAACTCCCACAGCGGCCAATTCTGCGTAAACGGGTATCTTCATGTTTTCTTCAGGGTCGAGATTTAGTAAATGTGTTGCTTATGACAACAATGCAGATCCACTTAGATACACTTCAAATCCAAGCCTACACGTAGGCCCCCTACATCATGCATTCGTAAGCATATTAGCAGATATCCTGCTACACAGACACAATTCTTAAATCGGACAATCGCGATCAGCTCCGAGTGACTTTCTAGTTGTTATGATCTCAATCTAATTACAAAAGATCATCACGCATGTGCTCAAATAGAAATAAGGAAACTGCTTACCTGTTTTTCATTGGAATCCGAGTTACAACCGGACATGACGGGTGCACAGTATAGGGACAGTACCACAGCATTTAGGAAATTTAGGGTGGCACATACGCGGAATGTTTGCAGACTGCCGCAACAGATGTTGACACGCAAATTTAGTGTCCAAAAATTCAATATTAACCTATGCGCAATCGTTCTCCGCTGGACAGTTATGCAACTCAATGTATGAAATCTTATGGTCTGTCGTGTAATATGCCAATGTGCCTGAGCTTAATGTCGTCCAAGATGGCAACATTATTGCGGCCTGCATCGTACTTCAGTTTCTTGCGATATTACTAATACTAAGCTTTCATCTCTGAAACTGACGATAAGTCTGGGAATTTCCTGGAACCTTGGGGTGGCTCCACTGTCAAATTCTTCGAGCGCAGCTGTAAGTTCTTAAGCTTCATCCCCGTCCGCCGTACCAGCGCGTGCCCTGTCACTGTTACCACTTGATCCAAGCTTGTCAGAGTCGGTAGGGCCAGCTAGACTGGTAACCCGCGTTTTTCAGTCTATACTTCTGTATTGCCGGCTGCTAGGCTACCAGTGAGTTCTCAAGCCAGAAATCTGTCACGTTCCGTTGGTTGAACGTGAGATGCAACACTGATGCTTCTTGTGATGGATGTCGAACCCACTCGTTACCTATTGCAGTGCTAGTAGGTTTTTGAGGTCGTTGGCTCTCTGACAGGCATTATCAAAACGGACGAGTTGTTTACGTTCTTCAAAGTGATGTGTCCCGTTAAAAATGCTATACGCTGTAAACATAGTTTCCATATTTTCCCATTAGGCCCTTATTGTAAGATGGCATGATTCTTATGATGTCCTGACGTAGAATCTAAGCCAACGTAAATGTCGTGCGACTTACTGCATCTACATCATGACCAAGACTTAGTATGACCTCGGAGAAATTTCTTATGCGTGAAGTTAAAGACAGCTTGCAGAAGTAGGGTTGTTCACAACAAAAAAAACAGCTGCTTCTCAAAACGCCAGTATTTCGAACGTTTCATCTGATGAAAGAAAAGAGCTTTCTTGGCAATATCCCGAAGATGCTCCCCTCACGCTAATCGACTGTCGAAGTGTTAGAGTGCGTAAGAGAAGATCCCTCCATGCAGTGCTTCTGTTTACACAGGTGTGTTAATTTGCCATCATGGGGATTATGTTTGTTGTCTCATTAAACAAAATATAAACCAGCCCAAAGTGGAGTAATAGCGAACATGTCACCATCACTACTCCATAACCACCATCACTAGTATTACCATCCTCACTTTCACGATGTGGCAGAGAGCATTTTCAATGGCTGAACATGCGGCATGCAGTGTCTTCGATCGCAGAGACAAACTCTCAGGAGATAGCCAGCTTCTGTCTCGTAAGACAGAAGATGGCGGGTCGGCAGACAGACTATCCCCCGCCGGACGTCAACCCGGTATTTTCATGTCTCGGGGTGTAGACATCAAAGCTTTTAATATTATGCATATGCATGTTACATTAAGTTATTTCCAACCACAGGGCAGTATTGTACCGAGAAAGTGGTAATGTTGAAAGTCTCATATTAAAGGGGCTATCTTTTGTGAACCTAAAGATGTACCTGAGACCGTACATCTGTGCTTACCTGCCTGTTGACGGAGTCCTCCACCGGGAAAGATTTCTTTATGTTTCAAATGTTGCATTTATTTCAACAGCAGAAAAACTACTTCCCGCGGAGGAGAGTAATGAACAGCGCTGTCTGCTTCGGAAAAGGAGGCACATCGTACATTTTACTTTAATACACATGCAGAACTGACTTTTTAAAGAGCGTTCACTGATTCGTTTTGTTTTATATGGGTTTATTTACATTTACGGCCAAACCAATTCAAAAAAATAATAAAAGTATCGTTGAAGTAGAAAATAACCTGATTTTTCAGGATGTTTTCTGCATGCCACAGCGATTGCGTGCGTTAATTAAGTCTGATTTCCCCGTTGCAAATTAGAAGGTACATGTATACACAAAAAACACTAATGTGACTTCAGTTCAGCTCCTTTCTAAAAAACAAAGTAATGAACGAATTATGGTGTGCAGCCTCATTGATAATAATTCTTACATGGAGGACTTCCGGGGTTTTGCGCGGTTTAAACCAATGTAGACTTCAAACCTGAGCGAGTTTAGCAAGGACATGATTCTTGGACATACTGTTGGCTCGGGAAAATATTCGCACAGTCCAATGACCGGCTAAGCCAACTTTAAAATCATCTGACGGAGAATAGATGCAGTCAACATGTCGCGTCAAGCAAATAAAATGAATAACATCCGCCGGACATAGAAATCCATTTAGCTTCCTCTAAATTGAGTTGCGGCTTTAGTAACTGTTACTTGTTCCATATAGGTTTCGTTGCAACACCCTGGGATCCGGCAAAGATGCGGTTGCTATGGCAACCAGGAACGGTGAATATCCGCAGTCGGACTCATTTGCATAAAAATACGACAGGGTGGCAGAAACGAGGGAAATGCCGATACGGTCCTGTGCGCATATGGAACTGACCGGTATAATACCACGGGTCTGGATTTGTGGATCCAAATGACTGCGCACCTTTCTATATTATCTGGTGTATGTAGTATGTACCTTTCACATGGAACCCACGTATCCAAGGCCACACCTATATCTTGTATGATGAAAACAAGGCTGGTGTCTACGCTATCCCAGATTACTTCCCAGTGTTTCGTGCATTCGGAATATGCAATTTAAATGTCTCTCACTAAACAAAATCCACATGTTCAAGAGGTGAAGAATTTTCATAAAAGAACCACTTATTTGTGTTGCTATGTATGGGATACCTGATAAAAATAGAGGCAGCATAGTTTCCAATTGGGACAAAGAAACATAAACGCAACGTTTCTTTAATGGTTCTGCAATTGAAAAAAATAGAGTTTTACTGAGTAAAACACGAATGCACCTACCGTAATAACATATATTGATCACCGTGTAATGGCGAACAGGCTTGTTTTAATTCAGTGTTATTTTTTTTTTTACTGTGGAATGGCTGCAGCTGCAACTAATGATGTGAAACGGACTTCATTTATCAAATCTAATTAATTCATTTGGAAACAGTTAAACCATTATATCTTGGCTTTTAAGAGTGTCCACGGTTCCTGTCGAAGGCAGTTCCACATCCGCAAAATAAATTGAGCAAATTAGGTCTGTTTGAGGTTCATGACAAAGTCATACACGCCGTCAATTTGGAGCGGTATTTCTATCCCTACCAACAAGCCGGTTGGCCTGTAGCTACCTCGGAATCTAAATTGAAAGTGGCGTTTCGATGCCCGACAGCAAATGTGCTCTTGCAGAAACAGGAGATAACAGCAGTGGATTGAGACAGTTATTATTTCATTCTCAATGAATACAAGATTCGATGCCTTGTCAATCGTGATTATACGCTCCCGGCGATGGGCCGTCGGCTCATGAGGCCCAGGTTAGTATTGCAAGGAGGATTTGATGCTTACACGGTAAACCAGTCCATGCCGGGCGGGAAACCAGCTACAGTACCAAATCATGACGTCACAGGCTGGTTCCCCTCTCGTCAAGTCTGGAATTTCCCGGGACTGTCCAAGGACTTCACAGGGTGCAAGGTCACTCGCGATGGATTGATTATCTGTCACATTTTTTGCGGATATACATGTACTGCTTTGTACATTTTGATGTGACAGATTTTCTTTTGGTTTCTGTGCAGTTTAGTGATAAATTATCTTGGTGTGATATGGATCAAATTCTGCGCTGGTATTCAACAGGAATGTGTGTGATGGAACACGATGCTGGCATATGGCACGGTATGAATGTATCACTCTGGCTCAGTCAGACTCCAAAGAGACCGAGTTGGTAATAAAATAATTCACAACGCCTGAAAGCATTCTCAGGGAAATGTTCTTCTTCCGCCCAACTTAATTAACACCGTGTCAATGCCACACTACTTACTGTACAACAACCGAACGTGAAATAGTTATCCCCACAACTTTGTGCCCGGGATCAAGTCTCGTTACATGGACGGGTGAAGGCGGGAAAGCTCACTTTTGGAATGGGATTGGGTGTTGGTTGCCGCAGTTTTGGCGGGAATGACGGCTGAGAGGTTGAGTTCGCCTGAGTGGGACAAAGAGAGGTCGTGATTTTCCTATATCAACAGAGGCTCCTTTCGGGTGGCTACCAAACAAATGAACACTCCCCGCCATGGCTGTTTTCAACCAATGGGGGGGTGCTTCTGCTCAAGGCAAATACTAAGTTCTTGGGTAAACTATGGAATGCGTGGTAATTGTAAAATCATTAAATTTAAAGCGGTGAAACAGGTTTGTTTTCGGAAAAGTCTCTCATGCGCAGGGACATCAATCACCCCGCTCCTCCACCGATTTACAAGACACATTCCCGCACCTTTTCCTGTTTACGAACAGCGCGGAAACCATCTCGACAAAGCTGTGTCGTGCTATTAATTCCGGCAAGGGGGCATAAATTGTGTGCGCGAATCGCTGACCGCTTTATTGATGGCTGGGCGGCCTAAAAAACGTATAAGATGTGAATCAAACAATGGAGGTGTAGGCCTCCAGGCACGCAGGGTTTTCTTCTTGACGTCTTGTGTCATTTGAAGCAACAGGATACTATTTCAATTTCTGCAAGACTAAACTATTTTAGACCAAATCGTGCAAGGGTGGAGAGGTCTCACGGGACACCTTTCGTAAGCCATCCCCGTGGGGCCCGGTTACAGCCAAAAACACACAGGTTGTAGTGCCGTCTTTACCCTGACGGACAAAAACACTGATGAACAACAACTCTGATTGAAACCCTAAATATGTGAGAGAAAGGAGACAGTAGGTAAGGAAAGGCTAGACCATATTCGTATACGGTGTATGGAGTCAAGTGGTATATCCGCATACGTTATTCAGTCAATGATACTTGAAATAGACCCAGTAGGAGACGCATCGGGGTATTAAAGCAACTATTTCCAGGCATTGTGCGTCTCCAAACGGAAGAGAGCCTGTCCTCGATACGTCGGACGGATTATTTCTTTCAGACGAGCCATTTGAATAACTTTTCAGCCGTAATGGCCAAGCGACCCCCCGTAACGCACCAGATCGCCAATCCAATTTTGGGTCAGGACCGATAGAATTGGACCATCCCGATTGCAACTGCAGGAGGAGCTAGAGGGAGGGGGGCAAAGAGCACTGAAACATGACGCTGGTAGGTATCTCTCTGGTAACGTTTTCACTAAAGATGCGCAGGAGGAAGTTTGTATAGGGGAAGCTTGATCCAGACTATCCCCTTTGGCCCACTAGGGATAGAGATGACACCACAAATGGGTTCATTCCAGTGGGATTTTCTACGCTTCGGGGAGGGGGGGACTGGGGTCGACCAGGTACTATATAGTCATTTCTGATTTCATTTACAGCACAATAGCTTACCTGTCAATCCACTACTGCG